AACCCTGGGCCAAATAATAGTAACAGTAGTCGAATACTGGGAATCTGACTGAGAATGAAGCATGCGTTGCGTAATATTCACCTTTCTTCGGAAGCAGTCCAGGTTTCCGTATTGATAACGCTGCTGCACAATTCAGTGACGGTCACCGCACGCCGCTCGCCCGAGCGTGGAGCCTCTCACGCTCTCATCACAATATCACTGGAGTGGGAGGAGGGGGGCGTTCCGTAGAGGCACAGACGTTTAATCAAACTTATGTTTCAGCAAAGGTGCATTTTCAGCGCACATTTTAAATAACAATAACAAAAATACATTTAAATGATAGGCTACACATTACATTTAGTTAATAAATTCCTAGTTTATATTAAATTGCAACAATAAAAATTATGCTAGCACGTCCGTGCTACGTTAGCCGAAGGTAAAGTGCACACACACTGTTTCCCTGGTGCTCGTGTTCTCGATGTTTCTGCGCAGATACCCGCGATCCTGAAGGGCGACGAGAGCACCGGAGCGGTCATGCTTCACGCGGGGGTTAACGACACCAAGCTGCGGCAGACGGAGACGCTGAAGAGGGACTTCAGGAGCCTGATCGAGACGGTGCGCCGCACATCGCCCGCGACGACGATCATCGTGTCAGGACCGCTTCCCACGTATCGACGAGGACACGAAAGGTTCAGTAGACTTTTTGCTTTATATGAATGGTTATTGTCATTGTGTAAAGAACAGAAACTGCTCTTTGTTAATAACTGGAATCTTTTCTGGGAGCGTCCTAGGCTGTTTCGCGCTGATGGTCTGCATCCCAGCAGAGTCGGGGCGGAGCTCATGTCGGACAACATCTCCAGGACGCTGCGCTCCATGTGACTAGTAAGTCAAATCTCAAATAACTGCCCTGATGACTTGTGTTCTACCCGCTTAAATGATAGAAGTACTTGCGCTGTCCAATCTATAAAGACTGTGTCTGTTCCCCGAATAGTGAGGTCAAAATATAAATTTAATGCAGGATCTAGAAAAAATCTGAACGTGATTAAACCAGAACAATTTAAAATAAATGAACAAAAACCATTTTTAAAGTTTGGGCTCCTAAACATTAGATCACTCTCACCCAAAGCAGTTATTGTAAATGAAATGATCACAGATAATCGTTTTGATGTACTCTGCTTGACTGAAACCTGGCTAAAACCTAATGATTATATTGGTCTAAATGAGTCTACTCCACCAAGCTACTATTATAAGCATGAGCCCCGTCAGACTGGCCGTGGCGGCGGTGTTGCAACAATATATAGTGATATTCTCAATGTTACTCAGAAGACAGGATACAGGTTTAACTCATTCGAAATACTAATGCTTAATGTTACACTGTCAGATATGCAAAAGAAATCTATCGTATCTCTTGCTCTGGCTACTGTGTATAGACCACCAGGGCCGTATACAGATTTCCTAAAAGAATTTGCAGATTTCCTCTCAGACCTATTGATTACTGTTGATAAAGCGCTAATTGTCGGAGATTTTAATATTCACGTTGATAATACAAATGATGCATTAGGACTTGCGTTTACTGACCTAATAAACTCTTTTGGAGTAAAGCAAAATGTCACCGGGCCCACTCATCGTTTTAATCATACGCTAGATTTAATTATATCGCATGGAATTGATCTTACTGATATAGATATCGTACCTCAAAGCGATGATGTTACTGACCATTTCCTTGTATCGTGCATGCTGCGTATTACTAATATTAACTATATGGCTCCGCGTTATCGTCCGGGCAGAACTATTGTTCCAGCCACCAAAGACAGATTCACAAATAACCTGCCTGATTTATCTCAACTGCTCTGTGTACCAATAAGTACACATGAACTAGACGAAATAACTAGCAACATGGGCACTATCTTCTCTAATACATTAGAAGCTGTTGCCCCCATCAAATTGAAAAAGGTTAGAGAAAAACGTACTGCGCCATGGTACAACAGTAATACCCATTCTCTCAAGAAAAAAACTCGTAGTCTTGAGCGCAAATGGAGAAAAACTAACTTGGAAGTTTTTAGAATTGCGTGGAAAAACAGTATGTCCAGCTATAGACAGGCTCTAAAAGCTGCCAGGGCCGAGCATATCCACAAACTCATAGAAAATAACCAAAACAATCCAAGGGTTTTATTTAGCACAGTGGCTAGATTAACAAATAACCAGACGCCACCCGATCTAAATATTCCCGCACAGTTTAATAGTAATGACTTTATGAATTTCTTCACTGATAAAATAGATAACATCAGAAATACAATAAAAAATGTAGATTCTACAGCGTATAATACTTCAGCTTCATTCATCGCACCAAAAGATAAACTGCAGTGCTTTACAGCTATAGGACAGGAAGAGCTAAATAAACTTATAACTGCATCTAAACCAACAACATGCCTATTAGATCCTGTACCCACTAAATTATTAAAAGAGTTGTTACCTGTAGCAGAAGAACCGCTTCTCAATATTATTAACTCGTCGTTGTCTTTAGGTCACGTCCCAAAAACATTCAAGCTGGCGGTCATTAAGCCTCTTATTAAGAAACCACAACTAGATCCTAGTGAACTGGCAAATTACAGACCCATCTCAAATCTTCCTTTTATGTCTAAAATTTTAGAAAAAGTTGTGTCTGCTCAATTGTGCTCCTTCCTGCAAAAAAAATGATCTCTATGAAGAATTTCAGTCAGGCTTCAGGCCCCACCATAGCACAGAAACTGCACTTGTTAAAATTACAAATGACATACTTCTTGCGTCAGACCAAGGCTGTGTCTCATTGCTAGTTTTACTTGACCTTAGTGCTGCATTCGATACTATAGATCATGACATACTCATAGATCGATTACAAAACTATACAGGTATCCAAGGGCAGGCTTTAAGATGGTTTAGATCCTACCTGTCCGACCGCTACCACATTGTTCATTTAAATGGGGAGTCATCTCAAATATCACCAGTAAAATATGGAGTGCCACAAGGATCTGTCCTAGGTCCTCTGCTATTTTCGATATACATGTTGCCACTTGGTAATATTATTAGGAAATACGGGATTAGTTTCCACTGTTATGCCGATGATACTCAACTATATATCTCAACAAGACCAGATGAAACTTCTAAATTATCTAAGCTAACGGAGTGTGTTAAAAATGTAAAAGAATGGATGACCAATAATATTCTCCTATTAAATTCGGATAAGACAGAGATATTACTTATTGGACCAAAAGACAGTACAACGAATCTCGTGGATTACAATTTGCAACTAGACGGATGCACGGTTACCTCCTCTACAGTCAAAAATCTGGGTGTTATATTAGATAGCAACTTGTCTTTTGAAAATCATATTTCCCATGTTACAAAAACGGCATTCTTCCATCTTAGAAACATTGCCAAGTTACGAAACATGATACCTGTTTCTGATGCAGAAAAGCTAGTTCATGCATTCATGACCTCTAGACTGGACTACTGTAATGCACTGCTAGGTGGTTGTCCTGCATCTTCAATAAACAAGCTACAGATAGTCCAAAATGCAGCGGCTAGAGTCCTTACCAGGTCAAGAAAATATGATCATATTACCCCAATTTTACAGTCTCTGCACTGGCTACCTGTTAAGTTCCGTATCAGTTACAAAATATTATTACTTGCCTATAAGGCCCTTAATGGGTTAGCTCCTGCATACCTAACTAGTCTTCTACCACGCTACAATCCATCACGCTCCCTAAGGTCACAAAATTCTGGACTTTTGGTAGTACCTAGGATAGCAAAGTCCACTAAAGGAGGTAGAGCTTTTTCGCATTTGGCTCCCAAACTCTGGAATAGCCTTCCAGATAACGTTCGGGGTTCAGACACACTCTCTCTGTTTAAATCTAGATTAAAGACACATCTCTTTGGCCAAGCATTCAAATAATGCATCTCATAATCTTTTACTGCAGTCATAATCTTTTACTGCAGTTATATCTAATCAAATGCACATTATTATTCATTAGTTTGGGTTAAACAAATCATTTTTGCTTGGTTGGAACAGCAGCTACGCTAATTATGTTTGTATTTGTTTCTCTGTCTTTTGCCACGGGATTAACATCCCGTGGTAACTAGAATCTCATGGATTACAATTTGCAACTAGATGGATGCACGGTTACTTCCTCTACAGTCAAAAATCTGGGTGTTATATTAGATAGCAACTTGTCTTTTGAAAATCATATTTCCGATGTTACAAAAACGGCATTCTTCCATCTTAGAATCATTGCCAAGTTACGAAACATGATACCTGTTTCTGATGCAGAAAAGCTAGTTCATGCATTCATGACCTCTAGACTGGACTATTGTAATGCACTGCTAGGTGGTTGTCCTGCATCTTCAATAAACAAGCTACAGGTAGTCCAAAATGCAGCGGCTAGAGTCCTTACCAGGTCAAGAAAATATGATCATATTACCCCAATTTTACAGTCTCTGCACTGGCTACCTGTTAAGTTCCGTATCAGTTACAAAATATTATTACTTGCCTATAAGGCCCTTAATGGGTTAGCTCCTGCATACCTAACTAGTCTTCTGCCACGCTACAATCCATCACGGTCCCTAAGGTCGCAAAACTCTGGACTTTTGGTAGTACCTAGGATAGCAAAGTCCACTAAAGGAGGTAGAGCTTTTTCGCATTTGGCTCCCAAACTCTGGAATAGCCTTCCTGATAACGTTCGGGGTTCAGACACACTCTCTCTGTTTAAATCTAGATTAAAGACACATCTCTTTGGCCAAGCATTCAAATAATGCATCTCATAATCTTGTACTGCAGTTATATCTGATCAAATGCACATTAGTATTCTTTAGTTTGGGTTAAACAAATCAATTTTGCTTGGTTGGAACAGCAGCTACGCTAATTATGTCTCTATTTGTTTCTCTGTTTTTTGCCACAGGATGTATTTACACAAGCTTCAGTCTGGATCCAGAACACCTGAGAAGAGATGATGCCAACCCCTCAGAGGACCTCAGATGATGCCAACCCTGAAACAACATACAGAACTACCACATTTTGCTGTAAGTTTGATTGCATCATATAATGATTTCTGTTAATAGTGTTCATAGTCTGTTTTATTACATCTTTAATTTATTTTTCCGTACATTTCTTCCATATGTACATTAATTGACAGTCACCACTGATAAGCTACCACTAAATATTGTAGAAACTTATTTTGCTGTAAAGTTGCTTTGCAATGATTTGTATCGTGAAAAGCGCTGTACAAATAAACTTGACTTGACTTACATGTTGGAAATATTCATTTTAGCGTTTTTGGGGTAATAAGTTAGACTATTTTAATGTAAGTTATTTAAAATATTTTAAGTAGTCTTGCACCCCCCTTGGAAGTTTGTCGAGGCCCTCTAGTGGTCCTAGGGCACTATAGTTTATAGATGAGGTAAAACATAAAAATGAAAGTAAATATAGATTTTAAAAAAATAATCAAAAGAAAATCCTTTTAATATAATTATAACGCATAAAAAGATTCACAGGATTTGGTGAAAAAGTAATTTAAGATTGACATGAGATTTATTAAGCAAGAAGCAAATATTTAGCTAATTTATTGAGTATTAAATAATTTTGCGAATGGAATTTTTAGCATATTATCTAAACCAAAAGCTCAAACATGTTTCATGTGCATTGGGTAGGCTAAATACTTATTCTCAGTAAATATGTGCACTTGTCAAAAACCACCGCTATACTGAGGCCAGCATTTACAAACAGAGCCTAGCAGACTTTAAACAGTTAAAATAAATAAAATTAAAAAAAAAAAAACAGGTAGGACAACACATTATGGCAGAAAAGACTTTAATTAGTTTTGTCTTCATGGTCTACCAAACATGAACACACACAAACAAATACATACACACAAAACACACATCTTCCTTCTTCACACTGTGCATTCACACTTTTTATGCTGTTAAATACACTGTTTCTCTGCTTCTTTTGGGGTGATATATTATAGCCAGCAATAATAAGTGAATAAATCAATAAATATTTTTAAAACGCAGAAAACTATTCAACATTAAATCATCATCTCATGACTGATCACAGACAACACAAACTATATTTCAAACAGAAAAAAGTTCTGATTAAAAACAAATGTAGGCAAATTCTTGAGTTTGCTATTTGCTACTAAAGGCACTCAGAGAGCACAAACCAAATGGCTATATTGCAAACAAGTGACCATATGAAGAAGAAAAAACTCAAACATATTGCATATCTTCAGCTGAAGATTTATAATTTAATACCTATAAACTAAGGTGATTGTTTGCATTGCAAGCTGAGTCTAGATTAAAACACTTGAACACTGGATACTGATCCACTGGCTGTGTCTGAAACCACAGGCAGTATATGAAAAATAAGATAGCTTCAAGACTTCTGAATCTGATGTTTGCATAATATCCTGTTTTCTACTTAGATGGCAGTTGGTTAAAAGAACATAAATGGCAAACCAGTTTCCTTAAGAGTCACCTTCATGCAAAACCTCTGCACGGTCACTGACTGATAGGGCAGCAAATGAGCAGTCTTCAGTTTCGGACACAGCCAGTAGTTTCTGTTCCACCTTGAAGAGACTTACAGATCTCAAAGGCTCAACAAGAAAAGTGCAGAGTCAAACAGAACGAAAGCCAGCCATGCTGAAGCAGGCCATCACCATGTGCGTCTCGGTATAGGTGGAGGTGGCATGGACCTTTGCGCAGGCGTTTGATGAACAGGACGGGATGGAGTCGATACATATCGCTCGTTTAGTATGTCTGGATTCCTAAGAGACAGAGCGGGTTAAATTTAAAATGAGCAATATACAAACTGAACTCCAGACAAACCAGGGAAATTGGTTGCAACTATTAAACTTATGTAGCCTAATAAATTAATATCAATATATGTTGAGGGTTTTTTTTTCTGGACGACTATCCCCAAATATTAAACAGTGAATTCAGCCTGAACTGTTTAACCTAAAACTAATGTTCGATAGTTTGGGGTCTGTAAGAGTTTCTCTTATCCTCACCAAAGCTGCATTTATTTGATCACAAATACAGTAAAATAGTTATACTGAATATTATCACAATTTAAAATAACTGTTTTCTATTTGAAAATATTTATAAATGTAATTTATTCCTGTGGTGGCAAAGCTGAATTTTCAGCATCCATTACTCCAGTCTTCAGAGACACATCATCCTTCAGAAATGATTTCTTAAAATTATAATTTTGAAAACAGTTGCACTGCTTAGTATTTTTGTGGAAACTGTACATACTTTTCTTTTATGATTCTTTAATGAATAGAAAGTTCAAAAGAACGCAATTTTTTTCTATATATTATTTGTTTAATTCATTTTTTATGAGCTCATTCCAAATCTTTGAATAGTAGCGTATGTTAGCTGTATGCTGATCAAAACATACATTTTGTTTTTTACCAAGAAAGTTACGTTTGAAAATTTCCTTTCGACTTACACTGATTTGCATACTGAATTTTGATTGGTTTTGTCTTCTTTGCATATATGTAACCATTTATAGCCTCCTTAAAAGGCACAGTTCTAAACCTGGGTTGGATGTGCACAGATTGCACACCTTTCTAAAACTTCTCTAAATTTATCATAGCTACCATCATCTAGCCAAGAATTAGCAGAGGATATGTGGCACCCACATCAGAGTGCAGATGTTCCTCACCTCCTCTCTGACACGATACCAATCTTCTGATGTTTGTGTTTGTGTATATTAGCTGGTAAAGATGTAGTGCATTCAGAACCCACACTCAGTCTTTATAAGATTTAAAGGTTGATGCTTCTACATATGATCAAGTTACTGATGGAAAGTTAAGCTTCGCAAAATCCGGCGCTGTGGTTAAAAGAGTTTAGCGATTGATGCTGTGGTTTGTCACATGGGGAGGTGTATGAGTTTCATACACTACCACCTTCACTTCACCTACAAAGTTTTATCCAGTCATCTGGTACATTCTCGCAGAGAGATGTTTCGAAAATAAAACTAAACGAAGCCACAACTCTCTATATATACACATTTATGTATGTGTTCGCTCTGTACAACTTTGAACATAAAGACTCGCTGTATAAAATAACTCCTGAGTATATGTATTTTTTACTTCGAGTTTGAAATATACTTCACAATAGAGCTATGACAGAAAACGCTTGTCTTTTCTGATTCCAACACAGTTGCTTTTACCTGGTATTGTGTAAAAGCCATTTTAAACACGTACCTCTCTATTACACGTGGTGGGACCCTGGGTGGAGGGAGTACTGGTGGAGTATCCACTACGGGCCGGAGAGGCCGTGGAGGAAGTGGAATGTCCGGAGGCTCCTTAAACCATATAACCAATAATAAATAAAAAGGTGTAATAAGTTCTTGGAATGTGTTAATATTTGCTATTAAGGAAAATATTTTGATGTAAAATCTAAATTTCTACTATAAAAACCTAAGCTAAAATACTTTATGGCAGTATATTTTAATATTACAATAATGTATTAATGTATAATGTATTAGTTTTGCGATCATTAAAATGTTTGAATGTTTTTGGAAAAAGACACTAAGGCTATATTTATGTGATCAAAAATACAATAATATGAAATATTATTATAATTAAAAACAAAAACAGTTTTCTGTTCGAATATATTTGAAAATATTATATATTCCTGTGATGGCAAAACTGAATTTTCAGCAGCCATGATTCCAGCTTTCAGTGTCACATGACCCATCAGAAATCATTCTAATTTGTTGATTTTCATTCCTTATAATTATCAATTCTGAATTAAAAAAATTATGATGACTAAAGGAAAAAAAAACAAAAAAAACTGACCTCACATTCACCTTCCACCCCACTGCTGTTGCTGACGGTGCTCTGAATGCTCAATCTGTGACTGCTACTACCTGCACAGGTCAAACCTTCACAATTACATTGTAGAAACACACCATACTTGTAAACACGGTTCTGTTCACAGTTATATCAGATGTTATTGTGTGAGATTAAAGAAGTTATTTATTACATACTAGAAGTGCTGGAGGTGCTTCCTGTCTGCCAGCTTCCTCTCTGCAGCGGTCTACTAACAGGAGGGGGTTGGGCAATCGAACGAGGTGTGGGTTCGTACACTGAGCAATTCATGTTCATTTGAGAACCCCACTGACTGTTTGTTTGCATTGGTGCTGTAATCATAAGCTCTAATCGAAAAACAGAAAGACTCTTGAAAACAGATATAAAATTGGTTTGATTCTAAATATCACAAATTAACAATCATTTTCAATGGCACCACCATAAAAAATATGCATTTAATTCATGTTTGCTATTTTTATGTGCCAGAAACTAAAATATTTTATACAATATATTTAAAATAGATAAAAAATGAAAATGAACACAATGAATTATTTTCTTTGCGAATATAGGTGAAAACTATAGAGTTAAGTCCATGACAGCAATAAATTCATAATTTGAACCGCCCCCCCGTCGAGGGTGGTGAGGACGGAGGGGGCACCAAGTCTGTTTCGGGCAGAAAAAGGTGCCTTCCAAGTCTTAGTAACCTCCTCATGCACTTCCGGGAAGAATGGAATGGCTTGTTTAGTTAACACTCGAAGGTGATTGGGCTCTCGGGCGAGATCCCAATTCGTCAGTCACTGACGTAACGTTGAATGTGACTGACTGAATGGGAACCATCTGTTTCTTACCTTTTTATAATCTGAAGAACCTTCTTTCGCCACAAAGAACCTTTTGTGAAACAGAAAGGTTCTTCAGATGTTAAAAGTTCTTTATAGAACCATTTAGACAAAAAGGTTCTTCTATGGCATCGTGAAGCACCTTTATTTTTAAGAGTGTAGGGGCTAAAATAATTTTAGACTTTCCATGTGCCATTAGTTCATACTTTTTGTTGAGCCCCAAGAGTAATATGTAAACTTTTCTTGTACATTCTAATAGCATGCCACGTTAACCACTTATGAGTATATTGTATAATGAAAGGTGTCCTGCGTTTCTTTACCGTTTGGCCCTTTGCCTTTACTGCGTCGAGTGATGCTGTCTCTTAATCTTTGTAAATTTTCCTTGAAGAAAATGGAGAGACGGTTACAGAAACATCAGAAATACTCATTTTATTTGTTAAGCCTATGAAGGGTTAACATCGAATTTGATATGCAAGGTCTCTAAATTATCCACATGCTCAAAACTTTGCTGAAAAACCTGTTGTACACAATCTACTACATGCCTTCTGATTGATAGTTCAAACTTTTTTTAGCAAGTAAAAGGTCTTTAAGTATAATTTTAAAATAGTCATCCTACAGGTTGTAATACAGGAGTCATTTTGCTGTGAAATCTTTAATAAATTAAATGTAAGAATAACTTTTTGTTAGTAATATTTCAAGATGAACACCTACTGGACTGAAGCAACTAATTATCCACACAGCGCTTTTTAGAAAAACAATGTTAAAATGTATCAAATATGACACATCAGGTTTTTAAGGAACATTTATTCGTATCACTCAATCATCATTGTATTGTTGAATTATATGTTTTGCCTCCCACAATAAAAACTACAGAGCTTTGGTTATAAAACTAAGCATTTAAATATAATCTTAATAAGATATTATTGGGAAGTACAGAGTGACAACATTTATATGCATTTTATATAAGTAGTCCACTATACTTTTCTAAAGAGCTCATTGATTTACATGCAACACATATGCAAAAATTTGACATGGAGTTGCTTACATGTTGGAAGCGGAGAGAGCGCCATCTTTTATCTTGATCAAACTGCCAAGCCTTGAACTCCTGCACTGCCTCTTCCACAGTCAGCTCACCCACCTTCACCCTCTCCTGCAGAGAGATGAGCTGCCTCTGTCCCGGGGTCTTCATGCCTGCAAAGGGGTCATGGTGACTGCTCATGTCTCTGTCTCTCACCAGCCGTACAGGTGCTGCAAGAATGGATCATTTAAGCATGGAAATGTAGGTGTACTTTCAATTTAATAATCCATAGTTCATATACACATATGGTTCAAGAAACTTTTATACACTACCTAAACAGGAATCCCTTTCTGGCTGTTGACTGAGTGAGTATACAGGTTCCTTGAGACAAAATACTGTAAAACAGGTCAAATTTAACTGAAATTACTATAAAGGTACTGTTTTCTGACTTAAGATTTCCATTAAAAGAATAGTTCAACCAAAAATGAAAATTATGTCATAATTTACTCACCCTCATATCGTACCAAAACTGTGCAGTAAGACTTTCTTTCTTCCGTGAAATACAAAAGAAGCTATTTTGAAGAATGTTGATAACCATGTGGATTCCCGCTGACTTTTACTGGGACTGTTTGTTTACCAACATTCTTCAAAATATCTTCTCTTGCATGCCACAGGAAAAAAGAAAGTCATGCAGGCTTAGAATAATATAAGAGAGAGTAAATGACACTACACTAAAATTAGAGCCTCTGTGTTTGCTCTGTGATTTAGCTGTGTCTGCATAATAACCTTTGGAAATGTAGGTTGTGTTCTCTTCTGGCTCTGGCAGGTTGGCTGGTCGTGGAATCGGTGCAGGTGGACGGTTGATTATTTCAGAGGTGGATTGTGGCTCCACTGTGTCATAAATTTGATCAGGACAGCATGGGTTATACGGGTCCTCCTCTTCTACATCCCCATAGATTTCCGCATTAAGGCCCATGTCATGGTATTCTTCATCATCCATTTCAGGTAATCCACCATTGATTGAAGTATGTTCCAAGGACTGTAAACTCTTGTCAGGTTGTGCTAAATGAAAACAATTCATGTTATTTGACAACTGCAAAATATACAACATCCAATAATGGTTTATACCATTTGTGTACCAGTGTACATCTTTATAAATACCATATATTAGCAACTACGCACTACACAAACAAGCTACATCCTGTGGCAGAGAGGTTCAAATACATACTAGCAGAATAAGCTAAGTTGGCTAAGCTAATTAAACTATTTCCAGGTGTTACGTTACAAACATGAGGAGAATATTGTAAGCCTTTACAAAATTGTTGTACACTTGGTGATAATTCTAAGTAATAGGCTTTTTAATAAGTAAAGAGAGTTTTCACAGATGTATATTCTGTATGTTTAAAGGAAGACAAGATGAAAGTGTCATCACACAGTGAAAAAAAGTGACAGAAGTCACATAGTCACAAAAAACTGCTGTGACATGACCATCATTTCTCATTGATGTACCTTCAAAAAACTTTCTCAGTATTGTCTCCGAGTTGGAGTCCTCCAGAGCACTTTCTAAGTCATCATCTGTAGAAACATTGTATAAACTATTTTGTATACAGTGTACAGTACATACCTTAACCATCTGACAGTAGGCCTATAAAACAAGTCTTATAATGCTTACATTATATCATATTATATATTCATAGGTTAGCAGTAGTAACAAAATATGCCTCGAAAAAATAAAAGAAATGCTTTAACTTTATGCAGTAATGACTATTGTTACTGTGCAAGAAAATATACACTAGACTAGAGTTTCGAAAGTAAATTTCAAACACAAACCCATCTCAGAATTTAGTTTCATCATAGACTCGTAAATGTCCTCATTATCGAAATTGGTGATGAAATTTTGGGAAGCCATCAACATGTCCTCATAGATATCCTCGTTGCCAGAGGTGTTCTGAGATTCCTCCATGTGGGTCTTCACTAAATCTACTGTCTCCTGTTTTGTTTTATGAAAAAAGAAAAGACTGCATAAATAACTGGCATCATCTATGCTATACATTTACATTTAGTCATTTAGCAGACGCTTTTATCCAAAGCGACTTACAGTTGGGGAATACATAAAGCGATTCTTCTTAAAGAGGCAAACAGACACAGGAAGTGCTTGTAATACCAAGTTTTTAGACATTGTTCAAATAAGTACAAGCTAGAAAGAGAAGGAATAAATAAAGAGAGAATATATATATATATATTTTTTTTTTTGATTATGATGATGAAGTCAAGTAGCTTCGAAAGAGATGAGTATACTGAAATGAAGATACATAGAAATACTGCTGTATAAATGTATGCTGATGATTATCAACAGACCTATATAACAATTACATCATTGCATTTCCATTACCAATGTTATGTGCAATGAAATTGCACATATCACTTTTACAGTGCTGTGATATTTAGTTTTACATGTAGTAATACATTTGTGTGTTCCCACAGCATTTCAGGAATTGGTTGACTCAGTTTACTACAATTTGTTGTCAGTTACAGAAGTCATCAAGAACATCTACGCAATTAACTCACAACATATTCGTCCATAAACTGTCTTAAATCAGAGAAGCCACTCTTCTCGGCCAGTTTGTTAGGGTAATCCCCATCTTTGTTCATCACACTGTAGGCCTGCATGGCTCCGGGGCACCGCATTAACAAAGACGTTAACTTTTTTAAGCCATACTTGGCCGAGAAGTGAAGCAGTGTTGGAAGTTCCACGTTACGGTGATCTGGAAACAAAGAAATCTCTTTTCATTGTTGTTCAATAGAGTTTCCTGCAGTCTTCAAAAATAAAAATTTACCATCCACACCAGTTCCTTAACTTGGTGTTATGTTATCTACCTCCATCAAAGATATTCATCATAAGCTAGACTTTTATAAACTATAACATAAGCAAGTTCTTATGAATTAAATCACTTACTCGCTGCTGTGTTATCTGCAATTTGACTAATTCCAAATACTTGTAATCCATTTAGAGGCATCCGTTCTTCAAGAGAGTCTGCAAGCAAATTATCCAATGACTCGGGCACCTTTGATGTGATATCAAATGCCTGAAAATGGAGTATAATAAAAATAAAAATAGGCTCAATATTAGCCTTTAAATGCCTTAAAATGTCCTTTTCTGTAACTAAATGTTAACATGCAGACAATAATGTTTGCCCTTTTTAAAAATAGTGAATGATAATGAAATGTTTACTTCTGCTCCTGCTGCCTTGCATAAACTTTTAAAATGTCTAAAATGGACTTCATTTTTATTTATTGTTACTGACTAAACGATAAAATTACATAAAGCATCTTCCATTGCTGAATTCAGGGCTGTGTGTTGCTACTCCGGCATCTGTACGAGATCAGACCACCTGTGGGGCCGATACTGTAACGGGGCTGACAAGACGTGAGACGTGCGGATCCATGTGGAAGCCTTTTATTAAAGCAGAAGAGGTCAGAAACACAGGCAGGGTCGAACAATGGCAAACAGGTATATGGCGGGCAAGACAAGAATAATCCTAGGGCTAGCGTAGGTCAACGATCGGCGAGCAGAATCAAAAGGGCGAGACTAGAGGGGATAAATCCAGGAAAACAGGCAAAGATCAGAAACAGAAAAACAGACAAGGCAAGACTAGGCAAGGCTGGGCTGGGCAACTAACGAGGGCTCTGTAAAGTAGCTATCACTGCTTGCGATAAGCGCATATTTGAGTGAGTGTTAAATAGTGAGTGAGTAATATGAAACAGCTGTGTGCAATCAGTACTGTGTGCAATCAGTGCAATGAATGATGGGATATGTAGTCCGGGATGAGATGCAACAGTTTGTGTAGTGCGAGAGTCAATGTAATGGAAAGGGTGACCTCTGATGGTAAGCAGACAGAAGTTCATGGACCGGATTCATGACAGATACACTGTCACAGATATTTGACAAAATGACTACATATATCATTTAATGTGTTCAATAATTTAATTTATGAATTGTATTATTATATTAATGATTAATTATGAGACATTACATTTTTCACAACAGCATAATAATGTGAAGCTACTTCGAAACAAATATGAAAAGCGCTATGCAAATAAACATGACATGACTTGTTTGATTCCATTATCGCATTCGTTCACAAGTCATTTCAGTTTATGTGATTCAGGTGTTCCGTTTTAACCGATTGTTTAGATTCAGTTTCATCATTACCTGACACATGAACTGCATTGGATCCATTGCTTTCTTTAGATACCTGCAAATTTCCTCCATTTCTGTGTAATATGTCACAGTTGTTGAACAGACCACAGATTCGTTTTTATAAAGAGTCAATGAGACTTTCCCAGCTGGCATATCTAAGAGAAAAAAAAATATTGTTTAGAAAACAACACTGACAAAGCCAAACACAAATTTGACAAAGACAAAGCTTCTCTTTTAATAAATGAGCACATTAACAGGAAACAATATGTAAATTCAGTTGAAAGTGAAAAAGCATGGAGGAACTGATATGAAAACTTCCTCTTTCTGTGTTTTTGTCTTACCAGGTGACTGTACAGTAACAATGTACTCGTTTACAAGAGTCCCAGGGATCCGCTGAGGTGTCGAGTACTGAGAGTGAAACTCCACCTCCAGTCTGCCCTCATCCACAATTTTCTTTACCATGACTATATAAATATTCAGACGATTCTTTATGGGAACGAACAGATGGTGAGAAAGACATGAGACAGTGTCAAAGACAGTAACTGACAGAGTAATGCAAGTCGATTGATGTTGATTCCGCAAATGTCAGCAAATGCTTTTGAATGAAATGCTGAAGCTATAGTTTGTTACAGTGTAAACTTCTTTGATTTCACAAAATTCAAAATACTTTTCAAATAAGTCAAAACATAGTTTTTAAAATATGAACACTGACATTATTTAAGCCATGTACACTAAAATATTGAAATGACCACACCACGAGACATACTGTATAAAAATATCTCTTCATCCATTCAATTAAAATTAGGCATACTTTGATTTATTACATACTCAGATCGATTGATTTAAAGCTACTTGGTGAAGTATTTAAGTGATTTGTAAAATCACCCTACGGGCAGGAACAAACGTAGTCTATGAAGACGACAACTTCAATAGTGAATTACTTAAAAAGTACAGCATGGGCAGCTGTGATATCGTTTTATTCATTTTAACACCCATCGCTGCAACATCATCCTTTTAACATGACACTGAATTAAGAATGGCTTAAATGATCTAAATCAAGCTTCATAGACGGGCTTTGCACTGACTTCCTGTCTAATCTGAAAAGCACTAAAAAGTGTGAACTCAAACCATGTGAGCTTCTTGCTGACGTTACCACTATATATTAGAAAAGTTTTCTATTTAGGCTCTGCATGCATTGTGTGCAATGCACTTACCCCACATAGTATTCTGTCTGGTTGGATGGTGAGGCAAGTTTGGTCGTCTAGTGGCCCCATGGTATTTGAAGAAGTTTGCTCAGTATGACAAACATCACACCCAATCACCTGAATGTGTTCCATCTCATCAGGTAATGTCTCGGGAATCTCTGATAATGTGAACGCATTCATTTGTTCTTCTAGTTCAATTTCATAAGGATTCTGGCCATTTTCACTAACAGATCCTAGAATGAAAAATAACATTAAACTTTACTTCAGGTCGACTTCTTAATGTTTAGTTAGATTCATTTTGATCCACCATGCAACAAATATTTATTCTAAATAAAATAAACTACAGAGCACAGACTATAATTACTTCAGGCCAACTGTAAGATTACGTATTTAGTCAAATTAATTATGATACACCATGCAGAACTATTTATGGTACATAAAAAAACAAAGTAAAAAATACATAAATAAAAATAAAAGAATATATAAATCTACAGTTGAATACA